CAGCGCCGCGTGCGCGCGGGGGCGGGGGCCCACGTGCGTGCACGAGGCGGCGGCGGCGGCGGGCGACGCGCTGCGCTGGCGGCGCGCGGGGCTGCTGGTGGGGGAGCCCGGCATGGGCAAGAGCCGCTTCCTGCAGCACCTGGCGGCCGAGGCCCGCGCGCGGGCGCCTGCCAGCTGGGCGGTGCTGGTGCAGGCGCTGGCGCATCGCCACCTGCTGCAGGCCTGGCCGCCGCCGCAAGGTACGGCCCGCTTCCAGCCCTACAGTAGCACTTACACAAATTATCATACTAATTCATCAATTGTCCAGAATGTCATAATGAAAGTCAATAAGTAGAGATGATTGTGCTGTAGTACGAAGAGTAAAGATACTGTATTGGATTAACAACATACCGCACTCTCATAACTTAAGGAAGAAAAGTCACTCTTAACGGACGGCTTATCTTAAGGAATTTCAGAACTATAAATCATGAGTTGTAGATTAAAATGACGTATGAGCGCTCTTACTCCAAGAAAGGGTATATCTCGTTTATTCTGTATCATATTTGAAGGTGATAATGCGAGAAATTCGGCTATTTTCGCGGTTTAAAACTTTAAACGGCTTCTGTTATGTGCCGTATGCTCGCAGTATGGCAATGGTTATGAAGTGCGTTGAGCGAGTTTTGTTGTTACATTTAATTGGATGCATTGTACCGAGCTAACTTGCGCAGTACCCCAGTCGCGGCAAAGTCCCGTCCGCAGAGCTGCGCTTGGAGCACGCCGTGGAGCTGCTGCTGGCGGCGGCGGGGCGGCCGGGGCGGGGGCCGCCCGCCCGGCGCTGCCTGGAGGCGGCCCTGAGCGACAGCGGCGCCGTCGCCGTGTTTGTGGACGGCGTGGACGAGGTGTGCCCGGCGTACAAGGACAAGCTGCTGGTCTTCCTGCGCCTTCTGGAGGGCTCGCGGGCCAGCCTACTGTGGGTCTCCACGCGCCCTGAGGTACTCCGCTTTTGTGGGTCTGTTGCGTCGGCCCGTGTTAGTCACGGGCATTCTATAGGCAGTGTTCAGTAATTCTACAATCGTCCTCAATTTCCCGTTTAGCTTCTCATCCTCACTTTGCATATTTTATATTGGTCTTAGGCGCTTATTTAAAAATAAGTGAGTACAAGGCACACAGCTCTCTGCTTTAACTTTCCTATTTAATCTTGTTGCGGGTATTTTTGTGTGTAGTTTCCAGTAGAAAATCAGGCTTCGCTTTGCTTGCAGTGCACTAAGTTATTTGTATTCCGTTTCTTTCGGTTATGTAGAGTGTATTTGTTGCTCACTTTCCAGTGATTATTCTCAGTAATACTTATTCTCACTGTATGTTCTTGTAAGTTATCTTTTTTCTTCTAGTTATTTCTGTTTTCAATTCGTTATCGTCTTACCCTTCTACTCCTTTGTAATTGATGGAAATACCGACCGAGAACTGAGAATATGTTCGGCCATCTTTGTGCTGATACTTCAGTTCGCTTTCGCTGTTTTGCGATGTCCTTATCTCCTGTTGTACGCCGAGTATATGGTGTTCTTGGAGATAAATACCGTCGCTCTCCTTCTCTTGTCCTTCCCTAGTCCTGTTCATTCTGAGCTTAGGATTTTACCCTATTTTGCTTTGAGTCCACTACCACCATTATCTTCCTTTAATTCAGTGTACTGAGCCTGCTGAGTTGCCCTCGTTTGGCGAGAGCGGCTCTCACCAGCCGCTGCTGAGGTGGTTTTTTCTTCTTCATTTTCCCCTCTGCAGTTCCCCTGGAGAGGCGGGAATGTATTGAAGTTGGGGATACATATTTTCCTGCGGCCGATGAGGCTTTTGCAGTTGCTAGGGTGGTATCTTAAATACCCGAACTAGTAGTACCTTAAAACTAATTCCATTCCCGCCTTGGGAATCGCTATAAGGTTTAATGTGCGCAGGTGGCGGCGAGCCTGAGCGCCGCGCTGCGCCGCGCGCCCGCGCGCCTGCGCCCGCTCAGCGCCGCCGAGCAGGCGGGCTTCGTGGGCGCGCGCTGGGCGCGGGCGAGCGGGCGGCCTGCCGCCCGAGGTGGAAGCGCTGGCGCGCGAGCGGTGGACGCGCTTGCGCGGCGACCGGCCGGGCGCACAGCCTGCTCGACGTGCCGCTGCGCGCGCTCATGGCGGCCGACGCGTTCGAGGCGCAGGCGTGCCAGGCGCTGCGCGAGGGCCGCGCGCTGGGGCTGCGCGCGGGCGTCACGCTGCTCGAGCTGTACCGCCGCTTCGTGGACGGCAAGCGCGAGCTGTTCCGCCGCCGCTACGGCCTGCACGACGCCTGCTTCGCCGACCTGCTGCCGCTGCACGACGACTTCGACGAGCTGCACCAGAACTGCGCCATGCTCGTGCTGGTCGGTGCGCACGCGGGCTGCTGCGGCTGCGTAGCGTACACTCGAGATCGGGAGCCGGGGAACTTTCGCGGGCGAAAAAAGGCTTCGCACCCTCTCCTCGGAGAAGTAAAGCCGGTTGTCCCAAGTTGTATGTGAAAGATCCCCAAACATAAAAGGAGCTTCAGAGCTAAAGTGTAGTGTCCTGGTTTGTCACTCGAGCGATACTTTCTTTCTGTATTAGATGGGAAAGAGGCGTAGCTATATTTGGTTTGTCAGCTGAAGTAGCTGTTGCGCTGAATAACCTGACCGCACAAAGAAAGACAAAGCATAATTCAATTGTATGAAACAGTTTAAGTCCGAAATATGGATAATTAGCAGAGCCCGGCAAACGTTGTTCAGCCATTCATCTCCGTCTTTCTCCTTCCCTCTCCGTCTCCCTCTTCGTCTGTCTTTCTCTTCGTCATTCCCTCTCTCTTCGTCTCTCCCTCTCTCTCTTCGTCTCCTCATCTCTTTCTGGTCGGTCTCTCACTCTCTCTCTCTCTCTCTCTCACTCCGTTCCTCCCTCCACGTGTCTGTCTCTGTTTCTCCCTTTCCGTCTGTCTCTAGCTCTCACTTTCACTGTTCATCACTCTCGCTCTCTCTGCCTCTATGTCATTCTCTGCCTCCCTCATACACTTTTAGTTGAAGATGCTCATCAGGTCTTTGATCTGCAGATCAGGCGGGGTAATATCGAGAAGCGCCGGACCAGCAAAAATTTTAGAGAAGATCTCATCGTATAGATTACCGCATGAAAAATGTTTTTTCAAGCCTTGAGCCTCAAAGTTAGGTTTTAATGTTCTAGATTGCTTCGTTTCAAAGTTATTTGACAATACAGATTCAAAAATCCTACCGTGTGTTGCGTATTACATTTAGCATGAATATTTAAATTTGTTATTTGTTCTTTTTCCCTGAGTGTTTCCGATAATTTAATCGTTATTCTTCTATTCGGGAGGGAGATGAAGCAAACAAATCAGAGATAATTAAAATTGGACCTGCATGTTATGTCTATGTATGTACACATGCACATAAGACGCGCGGCGGTGCGCAGGTGTCGGACGGCGCGCTGGAGGGCGTGGACGCCGGTCCCTTCCGAACCTTCGCGGCTGCGCGCGCCGCGGCGCTGGGCCGCGAGCGGCGCGGGCTGCTGTGGCTGGGCGAGGGCGGCGAGCCCCGCTTCGCGCACTACTCCTTCGCCGACTTCTTCGCCGCCAGCTGGCTCTTCGCCCACGCCGACGCCCCCGCCCCCGCCGC